TCAAAACAGTTACGAGAGATGATCGAACCAAGACCTAGTTGATGGAAGAAAAATTATCAAGCATGACGGGATTTTAAGCACGAGGTAGCCCGAAACACGACGTGACGAGAAGTATGAGGTGACAAGGTGCTTTCAAACTTGATATTTTTACAAAAATATAAAAGTTTACGGAAGCACGACACATCCGCTCGGGATTGACGTGCCTGGAATCCGCAAGCACGACAAATCCGCAAGCACGACAAATCAGAAGCACGACAAATCCCGTAAGCACGAGGTGTCGCGATCTTGTGTGACAAGTCATCGGAAGCACGACAAATCCACAAGCACGACAAATTCGCAAGCACGACAAATCCGCAAGCACGACAAATCAGAAGCACGACAAATCTCGTAAGCACGAGGTGTCGCGATCTTGTGTGACGAGTCATCGGAAGCACGAAAAATCCGCAAGCACGATAAATCCACAAGCACGATAAATCTGCAAGCACGAGGTGTCGCGACCGTGTGCAACGACTCATCGGGAAGCACGACACACACTTCTGACCGTCCTGTTGTGCCAACCTGCTTGCTTAACTCTATAAATTGGACCAAGTAGCTCTCATTTCTTACATAGAAAACGTTCCAAACCTCTGACCAAAATAGTTCGTGATCATGATCCAATCCGCGGTCTGTTGTCGGGAACCATCCAGTAGTGCTGTGAAGTTTTTAGGGTAAGGTGTTCCGATCCTAACTTTTCTATCGACTTAGTTTCGTCTTGTGATCTTGAATCCAACCATTTATGGTTTTGATTGTTGGAATGATCGAGATTCAAGCCGAAATTCTGTCTGTTTTAAGGAAAGGAAAGATTTGTTAGATCGTGGAGTAGTCGAGGAACCTAGATCCGTTCTATGCCTAAATCCGAGTCTAAGTCCTAACCGTTTGAATAAGATGAGTCTTGGTGATGTTTGTCGTGTGCTAGATGAGTAGGGCATACGTTGCTTGTTTATTCTTATGCTTTATACTCGTAGAGGTTCTTGCTAGAATTTTTGGAATTTGGGTAAGTATCTTTGATTGTTTGTGCGTGATGTTTGATTGCGTGCTGCATGAGTTATGGGATGATTGTGTTTGTACTTGCCGCTAACCTTTGTGGATGCATGATTTCAAGAGGAAGCTGATTCGCGTATGATATGCATCGATACATGCGGGTCAAAGGTAAATTTTATGTTGTGTGTGAGGTTAGGCGTTACAAGTGATCAAGAGGATCATGTAACGTTCTAACAATTATAGAGAGCGGTTGACACTTCCAGATATTGCTAATCACGGAGGAACGGGATTGCAGCCTAGGGCCGGTGTATTACATGTCGGATCACTGGTCTTTTAGCCTTTGTGGTTAGGGCCGTGTGAGGTAAAAGGGACAATGGAAAGAAGTTGTCAATTCGCGGTTTAGGGTTTGGTTACATGAGAAAGGACTTCATTGTGGAATGTCCTTGGTTATGTTATGTGTGATTTATCTATTCCGCATGTGCATTCTGTGATTGTTGTGTGATTGCTTGTTGATTGTTATTTTG